CCACGGTTTCTGCCCCTCCACACCCCTGCCATGGCTGCCAACCACAGTCTCCTGTTGTCACATCTCTGTCCCCAACCTCTGGAGCCCAATCTGGGCTGCAGATGGATGGACACTCAGCTGCAACTAAGGAGGGACAGGCCCAACATTGGCTGTGGGCCAAATGCCCACAGCGCCGACGAGGCCTGGGGCAGCTCAGAGTGCTGCACCGACGCGCCTCACCGGCAGCCGCCGTGCGCCAGGCTGCACCAACGTGCCTCACCCACCCGCAGCCACCATGCGCCAGGCTGCACTGACGCGTCTCACCCGCGGCCGCCGTGCGCCAGGCCCATGGACTGCACTGGGAACTGAGGCCCTGCCCTCCTCCCAGGACTCAAAGTTTCTGTGGGAGACTAAGCCTCACATCTTGGGAAGGCCCTGGTGGGAAGGCCCAGGCAGAGGGGTGTGGGGGAGGTGGCAGCATGGCAGGTGGGGACCTCCCAGGAGAGACAGGAAGAGGCGGAAGTCACAGGAGCAGAAAACCCCAGGGGAGCCGTGAGTGACCTCATGCTGGTCCCCAGGCAGCACCCAGGGTCCCCGCCCTAGAAGGCTCTCCAGCCCCCAGGGGCTGCTTCCCTGGCCCTTGTGCTCCTTCAGCAGCAAGTAACCCACCTGCCATCCCTTCCAAGGTTTGTTCATTGTCCAGACTGAATCTCCCGGCAGGCAGGACCCCCGGCAGGTAACTACCGTGGGAGCCGAGGACCACAGGGTCTTGCGAGCTCGTCTCGGGACCAGCTACGACCACCCAGAGCGGCAGAGAGGCGGCGGCACCCAGGCCAGTGGGGCCGGAGGACAGATCTGCGCTGGCTGGCAGCTGCCTGCCTCGAATTTTACTCTGCGGAAGGGAAGCGGGCAGCCTGGCTGGACCAGCTCCACCGCGCCTGCCTGAGCTGAATGGTGTAATCCACTAGTGAGAAGGAAGCCCTTGGCGTCAGCTACAGCGCTAATGAGCGGCTCCCCGCCCCCACCCGTGGGACCCACCGTGCCTGCCGCCCTCCGCATCCTCTCGGGCGGGCACCGCCCCACGCGGGTCTGGGAGCTGAGGCCCTCCCTGCAGCCAGGAAGGGGACGGGAGTGGAGGCCACAGGGAGGATCGGGGCCGGGATCCTCCCGCCGCCCTGGTGTCGCAGCTGGTGCCTCATCTCACACACGTGTGAGCACAGACCACGTCCGTGTGCAATCCGATACTGAGTGCACGGCCCTGTCACGGGTGGGAAATTGGCTCGGGGGCCAGTCGTTGGCAGGTCTGGGACAACGCGGAGCTGCGGGCTTGGAACTGCGCTCACCTTGCTGCTTCTCTCAGCGCCATCGGCCTCGGGACCCCACCGCACGGGGAAGGTGGAGGTGCAGTCTGGGCTCCGACCCAGTGCTCCTCCTCTGCCGGGCAGGCCTCCAGGGCTCGGGAGGAGGACAGGTGGAGGGATTGGGCTTGGGACAATCCCACCTCGGGGCCACTGGGAGAGGATGTGACCCCCCAAGGGATCCCAGGGCCTTGACCTCGTCTCCAGAAGATGTCACCCTGGGGTGAGCAGGTGCTGTCCAGGCACATGGGGGGCAGGACAGGATGTGAGGCCTGGGCCGCGCTCCGCAGCCCCTCCTGTCACCCTCAGGGAGGGGCCTGAGCCTTGAGCCCTGAGCCCAGCTTCCTCACCTGACTGTGGGGACGCCACCGCCCCGCCCCAGGAGGCTAAGCCCAGCACACAAGCGGGGCCCCTCCTGTGGCGGTGATGGCCCAGGAAGTCCACGGCCCAGCGAGGGTGGCAGTCTGCCCCCACCACCCTGTCCTGCCCACATCCACGTCAGGTGTGCAGGTGAGCGAGCCGGGAGGGGCCAGACACCCCCAGACAGCCCCAGCAGATGGGGCCCCTGAGGGCAGAGGCCTGTGGGCAGGCATGTGCCGCAGAGGAGAGGATGGGAGCCCGGGAGCCACCTCCCAGCTGACTCCGGCATTCCTCGAGGCCTGGCTCGAATCCCACCTGCCCTGTGAAGCCCCTCAACTCTCACAGTTAGGGCCCAGTTCTGTGCCGGAGCCACCCACACTCTCCACCCCGGCCTGCTCTGCGTTTCCGGGTCGGCAGGCTTATTGCTTGACAGCGCTGACTCCCGTCTGGAGGGCAGGTCCCTTGCTGAGCAGGCAGCCTGACCTCACGGCCCCCTGCCGCGGGCCCAGCAGTGCTGCCAGGCACGGTTGGGCTGGCCAGCCTGGCCTGGGACGGGACACCCACACACATGGCTCCTAGGGGTCCCGACAGGCCACTGCAGGCAGGTGGGGGCTGTGGCCAGACCCCAGCAGAAGATGCAGGGCCCACATCTGTGGCCTGTCCCACCCCGGTTCCACTGAGCAGCTACCATGATGGAAGAAAGGGGCTGGGGTGTGACGAGGGCCCCGTGCCAGGGGCCTCCGGGTCCGTCTGACTACAATGGCAGGTAGGACCGGGGAGCGAGGACAGTCCCCGAGCATCAGTGGCCCACAGGGCCTGAGCCCCTCAGGGTACCCAGGGAGTGGGAGAAGTCCGCAGCCAGTGTCATTTGTGGATGTCCTTGCGCCCCATTCTCTGACGCGGGCACCTGAGGAGCGCGGCGACCGTCTCTCCCGTGGATGCACCGTCCAGCCCGGCTCCTCCCACCACCCGTCTGAGTGTCCAGGGCGACCTCGAGGCCTTAGGATCTGGCTGGGGGGAGCGTTTCCAGGAGTGTACCAGGGTTTCAGCCAGCCTGTGCGGCAGAGGCCAGAACCCACGCTGGGGACGTGGCCCGTGAGCTGGGGACGTGCACAGCAAGTGAGGTTTTGACCTCCACAAGTTTGGCAGGGAAAAGAAGAGAGAGAAGGGAAAAAACAGCAGGGACATCCTGGCAGTGCTAGGGAGGCCTGGGCTTTGCACTCACAGCAGGACGGAGGCCGAGGCAGGAGGGAAGGTGGGACGTGGGCCTCAGTGGGCCAGGACACGGGAACTCCTGTACATCTGTCTCCCCACAACCTCCTGATGGAGCCACAGAACCGTGAGCCTCATCCCACGGTGACAGCCCGAGGGCCCCGTCAGGGACAGACACTGCTGTGTGGGCTCCATGGGTCCGCCCGGGAGGCAGCCCAGCCCGAGCGCATCAAGCCTGCGTGGCAGAGGCTGGTGCAGGGCTCAGCCAGAATGAAGCACCCTCTGGGGACCCTCCAAGTGCCCGGCCCCCTCTGCTGGGGCTTCTCCGAGGACGGTGGTGACAGGCAGGATCCTGCCAGAGGTGCAGGACGGTGGCCCTGACGCCATGGTCAGAGGGAGGCAGGGGTCCCCCGCTCCCCTCCAACACTGAGCAGCCCTGGGCCGCTGGGGGGGGCTTCTACCTGCAGGGCCTGGGGACTGGGCCACAGATGGGGTCGGCACCCTCTAGGCCAGCCTCCTGGACCCCTCCCACCACACACCCCACCGCGCTGGCAAGCCTTGCTCTCCCTTAGACTCTGGCCACAGGCAGCCCCTGGCCCCAGGCACTTCCCACGCAGCTGAAGCTCCCAAGGAGCCACCGGACATGGGCACACGGGGTCAGGCCCTGGCAGACCCTGTCCCTGACACTAGCCGCCAGCCTGAAACCCCGAAACCCGACTTTCCTGTTCTGCGGCCGCCTCCCGGCAGAGCCCACGCCCACTGGCCCGGGCCCAGGAGGCCAGAAAACCCGGTTCAGGGTGCTTTTCCACAGCATGGACCAAAGCAGGTCTAGTTCCCTCCCCAGGGTGGGCCTGGCACCGGCACCTCTGTGGGGTGACCACGTCCTGCTGTGACAGGTGGGACCCACCCGTCGCCCGCCCTCCTGCTTCCTGTCCTTGCCCACCACAGCCTGCTTCTTGCTGTGACCCGGGGGAGCCTGCACACTCACCCACCCAGGACGACTGGCACGGCTGAGCGCCCGGTGAGGGTGTGGGGCCCACGTACCATGGCGGCCCCTCCGGGCCCCCTCTGGTCTCAGCAGTCGCACAGGAGGAAACTATGGCTCGTAAACGAGGGTGCGGGCTCAAGTCCGGTTAGCTGACACCCCAGGCACCCCCTGCACTGGGGTGTTGTGTCCCCTCAAATTCCACCCCAAACCTCTGAACGTGGCCCTGTCTGGAAATGAGGTCTGTGCAGATGGGGTCGAGTGAAGGCGAGGTCACGGGGTCGGCCCTCACCCAGCAACTGGTGTCTTCGTGGGAGGAAAATCTGGGCACAGACCCACAGGAGGGACCACGGGGCAAAGACTGGAGCCACGTGGCCACAGGCCCAGGGATGCCCGGGGCTCCCGCGGCTGGAAGAGACAAGGACGGACCCTCTCTGGAGCCCCTGGAGGGAGGGAGGCCCTGCCGACCCCTTGGTTTCTGGAGCCCAATTCCAGGACTGGGAGAATAAACTTCTGTTGTTTGAAACCCCCCCATTGGTGGAGACTGGTTACGGCAGCCACGGAAAACTGATGTATCCCCCGATATGGGGCCACCGACCCGGGCCCAGGCCAGCTTCTGGGTGTTCAGAGACTTGCGGTGGGCTTGGGCATTTTGGGGAAGCTGGGGTCAAAGGGCACAGGGAGGGCAGGCGCGGAGGGGACAGTGTCCGGCAGCAGGGAGGCGGCCACCTGGCGGGGCTTGCCCTGGAGCGTGTCCAGGGAGCACCCTCGGCCGTGCACGCCTGACCGGCGGGAGACGGACTGGCCACTGCTGCTCGGGCCTCGGCCTTCACTCCTGGAACAGAAGCGACCTGCAGCCCGGAGCTCACTCTTTAAACAAAACGGAGAGACCCGTAAGCACTAACATCTGGCTCCACGAGTTTCCGTCGTGGCAACTCCGCGGGGTACTGGGGCTTCCCACGGAGCCTGGTGACGTGTTCTGTGCGCTGCGGCCCCAGCTCGCCCAATACGCCGGGCCAGACGCAGCGGCCTGAGACGCTGTTGAAGAGCAACGTTAGACGGCACACCGAGACATCGTAAGACACGGGATTTGTTTCCTATGGACATTCCTTTTTTACAAAAACAAAAATAACTTAGTTTTCATTTTACAGCATTCCCAATCTGAGGTCCTCCACCAGGACCTCTCGGGGCCAAGCCCCCGTGCACCGCGCGGCTGGCGCACCAGGGCCAGGCCTGTGCCCCGCGTGTGGCCTGGCACTCAGCCTCCCCAGGACGTGGGCGGCCCCTGCAGCAACGGCAGCTCGTTAGGAGACGGAGGGAGGGCGGCCCCCAGGCCCGCGTGGTCACTCCGCGCCGACCTCACAGGGGTTCAGACCCCTCTCCTCGGCGCCCCTGTACATCCTTTGGAAGTCCTGGAAGCGCGGGGCACAGCCGAGCCGCGCCTCCCCAAAGCGCATGTGGCCTGTGAAGAGGAAGTCGCCGCGCCCCGGCCGCACCCCACACTCCAGCAGCGTCCTGACGTGCCCCTGCCAGAGGCCACCGCCTCCAGGCACCGGCTGGAAGACCCTGCCCTTCTGCCGGAACAGCCTGCTGACTCGCAGGCGGATGGCCGTCTCCTGCAGCTCCGGCTCGTGCGTGACGTCCTGGATGGAGCCTCGAACGACTGCGGAGGGAAGCAGACGGGGCGTCAGCAGGTCCGGCGGCACTGCCAGGTGCTGGCCCCGCACACATCCAGGCCGCTGCAGGCCCCGGCAACAGCCGGCATTGGGACCAGAGCCGAACCCTGAACTCTGCCATCTGGAATCCCCATTAAAAGTGCAATTTAAACAGCAGGAAGCTGCCAACCAGTCACCCCAGACACTCAGACTTGGTCAGAAATAGTGTCTTTCCACCAAGGACCAGACACACAGTGGGGAAAACAGAGCCCAACAACCAGTCTGCTTCAGCTTTTCAAATCAGAGCAAGAGCAGTGAGCACAGCTGGGCACGGGGTCTTCTGTAGCTCTGTGTCCCGGCCGGGGGGGCAGGAGGGCTGCCTCAGGCGCGGAGACCCTGACCCCGGCTGGGGCCTGGACGGCAGAGAAGTAAGGAGCCTCCATACCCTACACGACTGTCTGTGGAGCCTGGGGTGGGGGCTCAGAGCCGGGGTCCAGCTGGACCCTCCGCAGCAGCGACTCGGCGAGCATCAGCCCGGAGTCCAAGCCTCCCCGAGACGAGCAGGGGGCCTGCGCCCCTCGGCCTCAGCCTGCGGCCCACTGGGGGACCTGGGGAGGGACGGCAGAAGCTCCGAGGTGGGGCTCGCACCAGGGTGCTCGAGCTGCTGACAGAGCGATGTTACAAAGCACCCCGAGAGAGGAGTCCTGGGGAACGACAGACTTCTCAGACAGCAATGACCTCATCTGCAAAGCGGGAAAATACTTGATAATCGCCCGAAATACTCCCGGCTCTCTCCACGTGAGTAGCTGCAGAGCCCGTCCACGGGCGGGGAGCCGTTTACTGCACAGGAGCACAAGCACCTTTTCCCACGCTGAGGCCAAGCCCCGGCCTCGGCAGAGGGCCCCGGGGGGCTTCACGCCAGCACCGGAAGGCTCTCCGGGGCCTGAAGAGGGGCTCCTAGGCCCACACGGGGTTCCACGTGGCAGGAGCCGCAAGCGCGAGGGGAGGAAGCTGTGAGGGCGGACACTCACCGAAGTCGCTGGTGCAGACGGCCAAGAGGACCTCGGTGTCACTGCAGGGGCGGCAGGGTGCTGGGGAGAGAGAAGCAGGGTCAGCCGGAGACGGCAGGTTCTGGTGCCGCCCACCAGACCAGACGGAGCACAGCCGGCAAGTGCGCCCCGCTGTGGTGCCTCCATGGCCAAGACCACGTCCCAAGGTAGGTCGGGGTCCCCGGCAGAGCAGGAGACAGAAAATGTGACCTCGGCCACGCTGGGGGCAGCCTCAGCAGACCCTCAGCCCCGCCTGGCCAGAAGGGCTTGCGTGCGGCCGCGAGGGGCGCACCCCAAGCAAGGCCCCCAGGCCCCACCATGTCCCGGGACCTCGGTGACAGGGGCTTCCTGTCGCGTCACCTGCCTCGCGGTGCCAGACCGGCGCGCTCCACTCACACGCGGCCAAGTCCGGGAGCCGTGGGCTCGATCACCCCCAAGCTTTCCTGTGCCCAGCACCAATGCAGAACCACCCCAGCCGAACTGAAACCCTGTCCCCAGCACCACCCGGACGAGAGCCTCCCTCGCCCCGGCGTCTGCACCCACGCCCCGAGGTGCCAGACCACCCTGCCTCCACCAGCTCCCTCAGAGGCAGATGCCAGCACCCCAGATCGCACCTGCAGCCGCACCCCAAAAGGAAGGTCACATCCCGCGGGGACCCGGGCACTCAGATCCTGCCGGGGACTGTCAGCGGGGGAGGGACGTGCCCGCCAGCCACAGGGCAAGGGCCCTCAGCCGGCAGGAGCCCTGAGCCCAGGTCAGGCCCCCCAGCTCGGCCCCTCCCCAGATGCTACCCGCCCTGGAACGGGGTGCCCACCCCACACACCCCTCAACCGAGCCCTGGTCACAGAACCTCCTCTGCAGCCCCTGCGGCCCGGGGCACCCGGCTCCCCCAAACCCGGAAGGTGCCGAGTCTTCTCGGAACAGCTCCCCCTGCCACGCAGACTCGCACAGGGAGCATCTCCAGGGGCCCAGCCCTCAACCCGCCCCTCGCCTGACCGCTCAGGTGGGCACGCTGCCCAGGACGGACGCTGCCACGTGCCACGCCGCTCAGGCTCAGGAGCGGGTTTGGGAGACACGATGTTACCATCTGCTCTGACTGCACGTCCAGGACCTCCCCCTCGCCTGCTCTGAGTGTCCAGGTTTTGGCCCCAGCTCTTCTCCCACAGCAGAAGCCCCGGGCTGTGAGATCTCAGGGAGGCAGCCTGGCCCTCGGCCACTGCACTCTGCCCAGCCCCAGAAGCACCCGATGTTTTCGCACAGCCGGCCTCGCCCACCAGCCCTGAGCCGTCACCTGCCCGGTGGCCGTGCAGGGTGCCAATGGGGACAGGGCAGTGCACGTGCCCACCACCTCGGCCACAGCAAATGGGCCAAGCGTCTCTGGGGGAGCAGAGCTCAGAGAGGCCTTCCGGGGTCTGGGACGTGCAGGGACTCCAGGCGCCTGTGCGAGGGGTCAGCAGAGGCCAGACAGGGCCTCGGAGAGAGCCTGCAGCAGCCTGGGCCGGCACAGGGCCTCTGTGGACCCCTCAGGCCAACCTGTCTGGCTGCCCGGTCCTGCCCCCCGGGGAGAGGCCGGCACTCCCCAGCAGGCGGGGTGGGTGCGCCTCCCGCTCAGCAGCGCCTGACTCACTGGCCCACGCACCACCTGCTGCGCTTGCGACTATTAAGCAAAAGAAGAAGCCGCAGAACAAGAACAACCTGCCGATGCCTCCAAATCTGTCCAGCCCATCAGAGGACGCCAGCCGCAGAGCCTCCTACTGACCCAGCAGGGCTGTGATGTGTCTGGACCCCTCAGACCCCCACCCAAGCTGGGTCCCGGCAGCCCCCCACTTCCTCGACACTGCAGGAGCTCATGCCACAGCCCCCACCACTGGGGGCCACCTGGCCCCAGACCCTGCAGCTGCCCCGTGGCCCAGGGGGCTCTCCTGTGGGGCCCCCGGGGTTGGGCCCACCTGTGGCACTTGGGTCACCTGTGTGGCTGGCAGCACTGCGACATCTGGGGGGACTCGAATTGCAGGTGGCATTTTTATTCAGAGCACGTAAGACTCAGATGAGACCTTCCACCCTAGGCAGCACCTGCCCGGTGCCCACAGGGCCAGAGGTCCTGAGTCTGGGGTCCCCCGTGGGAGTGGGGGCGAGAGGGGGGTCGGAGACTGAAGGCCACGGTGACCACAGTCCATGGCGAGGGTCCCGCGCCAGGCAGCACCTTCAGGCTGAGCAGACACAGCAGCCGGGGCTGGAAGTGCAGGAGATGGGAGGTGAGCCGTGAGCCTTTGCACCTGGCGTCCCACCTCAGGGACAGAGGAGCCGGAAGGCCCCAACACACACACACACACACACACACACACACACACGCCAGGCCTGGCGTGCGAGCGTCGCCAAGCCTTAGAGCTTCCTCCACTCTGAGTCACTGGCCCCGGGACCCCAGGCGCGGAGGAGGAGGGCGGGAGATGCTCCCCCACTGGCCCTGGGCATCCGCCCTGGCTCGGCCCACCGACTGCAGGAGGACCAGGCCAGGGAAGGGCAGTGGGCAGCCTGAGGTCCGCCCGCCAGAGCCTCAGTGAGCCAATACCGTCGACAGCTGAGCCAGTGAGGCAGCACCCTGGAGACTGCCCCGCTCTGATTCTGAGCTCTGCTCAGCGTGGGTCACCTTCATGGAGAACGCAGTGTGCACTCCAAAGGCACAATCTGGAAACAATTATTAATCAGAATCGGGCTCATAAAGGCTGTGGAATGTGCTGGTCACGGACACATCACATCTCACTTCCGGGGGAGGGGTGGCGGGGAGGGTCGGCAAAGGCTGGAATTCCATCCATCCTCCTTGGAGGAGGAGAGCTGGGGCGTGGGCATCTCGGGAAGATCACTCAGGAATGTGCATCATATGAACCGAATGAAGAAGAAAGAAAACAGGTCAGAGGGGCCAGCCGGGCTGCCGTGGGGACCTGGGCGTGGCCGGCAGGTGCGGGCGGGAGGCTGCACCTGTGAGTAAGAGGAGGATGAGCTGGGGCAGAAAGAGGTCTCAGGGGGACGGATGCCCGTCCGGCAGGACTGCCCGAGGAGAACAACCAGGCTGGACACATAAGTTCCAAAGAGGAAACCTCAAGTGACAACCACCGCAGGGTCCCAGTGCAGCCGCGGCAGGTGGACGCGGTGTTCCCACTGGACGGGGAGGGGGCCCGAGGGGCTGTCTGGGTGGCAGGATGGCCCTGGGGACGCTGGCCTCGCTGCCTCTCCCTGCTGCAGAAGATTGCGGGGTAATTACAGTGGCCTGAGAAGCTGGAGGCAGGAAATCAAAGGACAGTAGCGTCATGGCACACCTGGGAAGAACATCACCCCCGTCCGTTCCTGCTTCTGTGAAACAACGAGGTTTCTTTTCTGCTTCTCTACACTTCTCGACCCGTCCCACACGCCCATCAGCGCCCCCTAAGCTCTGTGCTCCAGGAGCCCTGCTGGTGACGGGGACTGCGGCTGCAGACACCACAGGACCCAGTGTCCCCGAGAGCTGGCGAAGCAACTTCTGTGTGTCTGTTACCAGCGCCAGAGCGGTGTCCTCTGCCTGTCCCTTCCACTCTCACTGCGTGTCTAAAATGCCACTGCCCCCCGCCGTGGACACCTGCTCACGTGGGCCTTGCCTAGAGCCCGAGCCCCGAGCACAGAGGTGGCTGAGACGGTGAGCACCTGTCACACGGCTCCAGGAAAAGTCAGAGCAAGACAGGAATCCTGGGACCCGTCTGCCTGCCCAGGTGAGCTGGGGAAGCAGGTGGGTCTCTGTTCCCTAGAACCGGCAGAGACCCCCTGCTCCCTGGCCACCCCAAGTCCCCCAACTCACTGGGCAGTCGGGCCCTGGTGGTGCCCGTCCATCGAATGCGCCTGGCCCAGGTGTCCCCAAAAGACTGGGGGTGGAGTCCACCAAGTCCTCAGCACATGTCTGGACACAGCCTGGAGCTGGATCCACGAGTTCCCGCACCTGTCCACTTACCGCCTTGCCGTCCTGCCAGGGCTCCGCGGCGCGAGAGGGAGGCATGCCCCGGCAAGACCCACAGAGGTGGCAGGCGCGGGGCAGGCAGGTCCTGCCGGTGGCGGCCAAATCCCGACTCCCCCGGGGCTGGATCACCTCCCACCGGACCCACAGTCTGCGCCCCCGGAGGAGCAGCCTGGCCCCTGTTCTGGTCCCTTCTGGGCTGTTGGTGAGTGTCGGCTTATCCAAGGAAGCCGATGATGCCGCGCGAAGGGACCCGCGGCCAGCGAGCTGTCACGAACGCTCGGCACGTTTCCCCCTGGCTGGGCAGGGAGCGCAGCTCCCACGCACGCTCTCGTCCGGATCCGAGCCCACAGAACCTCTGTTCTGTCGAGTCGGCACAAACTATAGGTTCTGACTCAGGGGCGAGCTCCTCCACTCCTGGCAGGTAGGACTCTCCCCGCCTGGCCGAGGGCGTGCGCACAGCCTGGCGACGCTGCCTGGGCTCAGCTCCCGTCCCGTCTCCCGCGGCTGCCGTGAGGGCCAGGACAGGAGACCAGGGAAACCGCGGCGCTGGCCGGAGAGAGCTCAGGAGCGGCCTGGCCCAGGACACGTCGTCGCCGCCGCCAGATGGCCAGCGCTGACATGCCGCATTACCGACCCATTCCTTGGGCATTAAAGGCTTAGGGGCCCCCTTCCCGGTAAAAGGCGGGAGGAGAGTCGGCCTCCCCAACCCTCCTGCTCCTCCACCGCCCCAGGACGGGCGGCCTCTGGAAGGGCCCTGGAGGTGCTCAGCCCCAGGCAGGGGCCGGCTTCTGTGCCTGTGTTTGGTGGGGACCCGAGCATCGGGCCCTGGAGCCCCGGGCGCAGCTCAGGGTCTGAGTCCCTGCGTTTCTGTGCTGCCCCCAGCAAGCGCCCCACGTCTGGAAGGCACCGGAGGCTCGATCTAAACAGACGCCCTGAGCCAGGTGTGCGTGTTGTGAGCATCTGTCCACAAGACACAGCGAAGTCCTGGGCCCTAAGCCAGCCTGACACCCGCTGGGGCGGCGTCCTGTGGGACCCCATGGTCCTGGGGGTGGGGGGCCGAGCGTGCGGCCGTGACCCAGTGCATCCCCCTGTGGCCCAAGTCACTCCTGACCCAGGGCCGCCGCCTCCCTGCGACCCCACAGACACCCAAGCAGCTCAGCCACCAGCCCCTGCGGCCTGTCCCGGACCCGCTCCCTGTCCACCTGGACACAAGGGCCCGGCAGGCACAGACCCGACCCCCAGAGATGAGAAAGAAACAAAGTCTCTGTTCCCTGGGGGTGAGCTCTCAAGCTCCGTCAGAGTCTACAACCAACACGTCCATTTTCCACCGGAAATCTGCCTGGGACAGATGGGACGTGCAGGTGTGCACAGCTGTGACCGGGGGATCAGGCCCACGCCTGCCGGCACCTCCTGCCTCAGTTAGCGGCTTCAACAGTCAGAGAGACCCAAGGTGGTGTTCGGAGTTTTCCAGACTTTGTGTTTGTTGTGAGTTTATCTCCAGGGCCCCAGAGCAAGGCTGGCATCCCCTCCCCCAGATCTGCCACCCACCGTAACTCCTGGTGACAAGACAAATGCCACCTGGTTAGGGTTTTATTCAGCACCCAACCAGCCACGGTGCGGCCGAGCGGACATCGGCCTCCAGCTCCGCGGTCCTGAGCCACGGCCCACAGGCCGCCCCACGCGGAGCCCTCGAACAGACCCGTGCAGCTCCGGAGGTTTCAGAGAGGCTGAAAACCTCAGGGCCAAGAACACAGAACAACAGGTGTGGATTCACACTCAGGAGGAAAAGTCTGCACAGCCCAGTCCTCATGGGACCGGCTCTCCCCCGGGGACTCTTTCAGTCCCTGAAACGTGGAGATGGCCCACCCCAAGCCGTCTCTCCACCTGGGCGCTGCTGGCATTTTGGGCCGGGTTGGCCTCTGGGCTGGGGTGTCCTGTGGGGTGTGGCGCAGCCCCCAGCCTCGACCCTGGTGCCAGAGACTCCCCTCAGCCGTGAGAACAACTCACTGGCACGACCGTCTGCACGGACCCTGCTCCTGGGGCCACGGACAGGACAGTCCAGGCTGGCGCCTTCCCAAGCCCCCACAGAGGCAGGCGGGACAGGGCCCTGGGAGGTGACCTTGCCGCCTACGGAGTGGACGCTGCCACGAGGCCCCACCCAAGATGTTCAGACCCCACCAGTGGTGGTGTGAGCCTGGCCTGGGTGTCCCCAGCAGACAGGATGTGAGCTGGCTCACAGCTCGAGAGCGGGACCTGCCCTGTCCCACCCCAGGGTCCTGAGGCCATGTGGGAGCTTTCTAGAGAAAACAAGGCCCTCCACAAAGGGGCCCAGCCCCCAAGTTCTAGGACACGCCCCTCCCCCAAGCGCAGGTGTCCACGGAAGCCAGGAGAGCCCTACTACCCGCCTGCCAGACAGGGAAGCTGCTTGTCTCAAAAGAAGAAAAAGACAAGACTGGAGCCAAGCTCTCAGTCTCGGGCACCCCGTCCAGGCAAAGGCCCCACCCAGCCCGCGTGGCCCCGTGCCCCCCAGAACCTCTGAGGTCCCCAGATCTTCACAGCCACTGTCCAAAGAGGACCCCGCGCCACTCCGGCTGTGCGTCAGCCTCAGCCTCCACCCAAAACTCGCTGGTTGTTTCAGGGGCTGAGCCGACCCACTTCACGGGGCAGCGTGAACAGTAAAGCACCCGCCCCACATGCGTGAATAGCACACAGGCACAGGGGCACGTTCGGGGCCCAGATCCACCGTGGCAGCCCCCCTGCTCTGACCACTAGCCATGCCCGGGCGACACCTGTTCACCTGCCGTGCACATGCTTCCTGGGGGGCGGGCACCGCTCTGCCAAGCCAGAAACACCCAGGCGCTAAAGGGACTCGCGCACCGACGTGACCCGTCTTCTTAAAGGTGGTTTCAGCCGCAAAGCTGCACGTCACAGGTGGTTCAGCTTCGGCAGCCAGCACCCCCAACACGGGCCACGTGCTGGCGCCGCCTGCCGGCTCTCCGCGCAAACCCGCCACGTCCGACACACAGACGCGGAGCGTTTCCACAGAGGCCAAGTGGAGGTGGGGGCAGGAGAAAATCAGACACAGCCGCAAAGCCCTGACCGTGCAGATGAGAAAGCCGAGTCGCAGGACTGGCGAGCCCCGAGCAGGCGACTGGCGCTCCGCCCCGGGCGGGCCACTCACCGGATGGCGCGTGCAGGTCCGGCCCCCGGTGCGTCCTCGTCAGCTCGTACTGGAAGCCCGCGGTCCTCCTGCCGATGTCCTGCTGGGGCGTCGCCTCCACAAACAGGCCGCCCTGCTCCAGGCCGAAGCACTGCACCTGGCCGTGCCTGGCTTCGCCGTCCCGAACCAGCAGTCTCAGTTCTCCAGTTTTTTCCAAATAAATATTGGCCCCCGAGGAGTCCCTGAAGGGCTTGATGCACACAGTGAGGAGTCGGGCGGGCGAGAAGGTGTTGGGCCGCAGGTTGACGATGAGAGCCCCCGTCGGGTACAGCCACTCCACGGCGCCCGCCGAGCATCGCAGGTACACCTGCTCCACCTCCTTCCTGTGCGCCTCGTGCGTGAGCCCGCTGCGGGAGAGGACACGCCGTCAGCCGGCCCGCTGCCGCGCCAGGCTCCCACGCCCCACGCGCACCCCTGTCCAGGGCGGCGTGCCAGGACTGCGCTCGCGGTGACCGCACGGCCCTCAACCGCGAAGCAGGTACCAGCCACCTCCACCCGGCCCCGCAGTGCGGGCCCAGCGGGGGCCACAGCTCTGATGGCTGCAGCGGCCTCGGGCTAAGGCCCAGGTGTCCCTGAATCAGGGGGGTGGGCGCGCTGCAGGTCAGGGGAAGTGAGAAGAAGGAAACAGCAGCAGGACCTCGGTTCTGGCCCGGGTTCCAGAACGGAGTCCCGCCGTGTGGGGCGTGGGGCTGCAGGTGGGACATGCACAGGGTGACAAGGCCGTGCTCGGGAGAGCAGCTCTCAAACCACCGGCGATGTCAGCAGGGCGGGGGGGCTGTCGGGTTTGGCTCTCAGAACCTCACCACGGGGCACTAATGTGTTTTCATTCGTTTCCAAGCCTGAGGACCCCGCACTGCCCCTTGCATTTTTTATAACAAACCCAAACATCATTAGCACAAGGTCCCCTCCAAAAGCGAGGTGAACGTCTTCCGCTGGCGGGAGTGGTGAATATGTCAGCGACAAGCTAATTTTACTCCTAATAAGTGCTAAGTAGGAAAAAATGAAGTTTGCCACACTCTCGGGGAGGCAGGTCCTGAGTAGAGACAGTTACGTTTTCAAGAAATTGAAACTATCAAAAACATGAAAGTTTCTCGGACTTGAAACTGTAATGTAAATGTCAGCATGGCGCTAACAGACGTCATAACCAAGGGCCTGGAACCAAACCAGTGACTTCACCTAAGTGTCTGATTACATGAAATTTGGTTCTAATCAGATCGCAGGCAGGTTCACCCACATTCTTGGGATTTTTACGTGAAATAAACAATGCTATATCCAGAGCCCCCGGCCTGAGCGAGTTACCAGAAACCCTTTCTGCAGAGGAGAAAACACGTAACATATGGTTTGCATTTGCTGCTGGGTGACTCACGCTCAGGCCCCCAAACCTCACTTTTCACACGATGCAGCTGCAGGCGGGCGCTGCAGTCACCCTGTGGACCACATCAGAGGGAGGTGTCGAGCGTGAACCCCTCCTGCCCGGCCCCCACACCCACAGCCTCCGGGTGAGGGCAGCCAGCCCAGCCGCAGCCAGCTACCAGGGTCACAGAACAGACTTACAAATTAAGCCAATAAAACTCACACATCTCATCTGACACGTACGTAGGGGCAGGCATGATCACAGGGCCACGTGAAAATTAGACTAAATGGTGAGTGGCTGACACACACAGCTACAATCAGCTCTTTTCTTATGCAGCCAAAACAAACCATCATCGTGTCCCCTCCCCTCTCCCGTCTCCATCATCAAGAGGCAGTTGAACACTTGCCCCAGGCCCAGGAACCAAGTCTCAGCTCTCTCCCCCATAAACCATCCTGCCTGAGGCTTCACTTCCCTGCTGGGGGTCCTGAGGGTCCAGGGAGTGGAGAACCCACACCTGAGGCTCCAGTCACCTCTGACTACACTGCCTTCATCCAAGGGTGGGGGGAAGAGGCTCCACCCACAACTCAGGCAGGGGCAAAGGGAACCCGCTTGGGGACAGGCGGCCAACCCACGTCTGCCATGGGGCTGCCCTCCCGGCCTACACACAACTGCACGCATCTTGTAGGTGCGCCTGGCTCCAGTTCATTAGAAGACAGTCCACGAAAAGAGGTGTAAGAACAAAATGAAGGTGACACGGAAGATACAAAGCACCTGTCACCTGGCCCTTCGCCTGTGTCTTAACTGCCCACTAAGAAGGATCTGTGCCCCTCTCTCTTACACCTCCCTCCTTTTACATCAAGACTAACGGGAATGAGGCGTAAGACACCGGCACCCCTACATTAAAGTCAGGAGCGCGTGATGCACGAGACCCCTATTCAGACAGACCACCGTCTGGGAAAGCAAACCACGCGCCCTCAGCCTGGGCCAGGCAGGCCTGTGAGTGGACTCAAAGTCTTGCCGGCGGCGCTGGCTCCTACCAAAAGAACCCACCTCCCCAAATCTCTCCCCTGCAGATACCCAGCACCACAGCAAACCCGGAAAAATGCCCATTTATGCAAAATTACTGGAATTACAAAAATGCAACACACCTTTAACGATCACAGATGAGGTATTTTATGATTGTCACGTAAGATGCAGGTGACACACTGAGCAGAAATGAAAGAGCTGTGCTCTACTTTGTGACGAAAGGACACAGACCAAACCGTGGTTCTATTCAACTTTAGGAAACTGACAACACTGATCTGATCTTAGATTACACTGAATTAGTGCATCTTTTTAAAAGCCAGCAAGGGCTACCTCCCAGGTGGCCACGCCGCGGGGCACCTTTGTGGAAAAGAGGGGGAGCCCCCAGGGGCCGCTGTGGCACCAGCCCACACGCCACACCCCCTGTCACCACAGCACAGCGATGGCCTCTTCACTGAAGTCAGCGAGGCTCTGCCTTTCGTTTCCCCACCTTGTGGCAAAGGCCACCCAGGTGCGACTGCACCTGTGACACCCGCTGATGGCAGTGGGAAAGTCCACGTCCACCTTTATGGCCACCGGCTGATAAACCTCCAGGCACAGGTCCTGCCTCACCCACCCGGAGAGGGATTTCCAAAGCTCCTGCTTAATTGCTTGGAAACACCTAGAAACATCGGCCTGTCACTGAGTGGCCAGCGTCATAAAAAGCAACTCCCTTGCTATCAGGGGTCAGAATCCACACAGCGTTTCGGGCGGACTCCACCCTGCGTCTTCGGAACAGCTCGTAAAAAGCCATAAACACTGGGGAGTTGGCGAGCACAGCAGCACCCTCCCAGCCGCACAGCCAGTGCCGCCGTCAGCTGATCTGTGAAGGGCATCAGTGAGCGAGAGCAGTGATGACACCAAGAGTCTCACACCCTATCTACTAGAGGGTCCCCGCAGCCGCCCTCGCCTGGCTCTGCCTTGGGGAGGGGTCCCTCCAGGGAGTCTGAGACCAGGAGGACGTCGGGGACGATGGGGAGCAGGGGCCGGGGAGGAAAGGCTGGAGCCAGGCGAGGGCACTCCTCCCCGCTGCAAACACCTGTCAGGTGGGGGGTGGGCCTCCCGCCCTCCTTCACAGCCCCTAGGAAGGCGTCCCCTTCCTCCAGGCACAGTGTCCGCAGGACCCGAAGAGGACGTGAGCCCCCACTCTGGAAACTCAGGCTGGCGCAGCAGGGACTTCATTTCTGGTTTGATCTGCTGAAGCGGAACACCCCAGGGCCTCAGTTTTGGGGCGCACTGATTCAGCGGGCAGAGGCTGCAAGCCGGGAGTTTAATCACTATCCCAAGCCAAAGGGCAGCCCCAGAGAGCTGTCAGCATCGGGGGCTCGCAGCCAGCTCGTGCTGGCGCCAGCATTCCCGAGGCGGCCCTCCCCCAGGGCTCCATCCGCCCTCGCTCCCCGCGGCCCGGGTCCCTGCCGCGCCGGGAGGGTTTCGGCGGGAGGGGCAGAAAGCGCCCTGAAGGCCTGGGCACCGCTCGCCGCTCGCGGGGACCGGGTGACTCTTCCCGCTCAGCTCCCCTCGGGACAGGAGCTGGTGTCCTAGAGCGCCCAGCCCACCGGCTCAACCCGGCCTTCTCGGAAAACGCGCTTCACTCAAAGTAACCCCGTGACACCCCCATGAGCTGTCTGCCGGCTGCAGTCTTCCCGTCGGTCCGGGCTGAGAGGGCCCTGGGCGGGAGCCCCCGGGCGCCGGACGCCGGTGCAGGGACAGCCCTAACCTGCAGCGTTTTCGGGGAGACGCGCGCCCGCCCGGTCCCGGCGCCCCCCGTAAACTCCGGAACCGGCCGCCGCCAAGAAGGCACGAAAGCGGCGAGCAAGGGCGGGCTGCGGCCGCGGCGCCCACCGCGCCCTCGGTGTCGCATCGGAGCCGCGCGGCCCCCGGCCTCCGCCCGCGCACACTGGGGATCGCGCTCCTCTCTGCAGTCGCATTTCAGCTGAAAAAGAGTCCTCGGCTGCCACCGCGGGGTGGAGGGGGGTCGACAGCCCAGCGCGCGCGGCTGCCAAGGGCGGCCTGACCTTCACCGGGCGGGGGGCTCGCCGGGCCCCGCACTGGCCCCGCGCACAGGTGTCGGCCCGCGGCTCGCCGCCCGCACGGACGCGGACAGCGGGGGGCCCCTCCAGCCACCGAAGCCGCGCTCCCTCCCGCTCTGCCCCGGGCGCAGGCTCGGCTCCTCCGGCCCAGGGCGGCCCCAGGACGCGCAACTGCCCCGGCTGGAGCCTGGAAGGGCCCACGGCCGACCCTCTCCCGCCTGCAGCGGGGTCGCGGGATCGGCGACCGCCGGGCTCGGGGCCACGTAGAGACTGGCGCGGTCCGCGCGGGGCTCGTGGGGGCCGGGCCGGGACCGACCCCGCCGGGCTGCAGGCGCCCTCCCCCGGGGCGTCCTCTGGGCCAGGGGACCGGGACGCCGCGGGGTCTTTTGTTCCAGAATCGGGGGCGGCGGACGGTGGGCACCGGACTTCGGCTGGAGAGCCGGCCCCAGGCCGCGCCCCCGCACGCCCCGCCGGCCCGGGAGGGGAAGGGAGGGGAGGGGAGTCGACGGACGAGGGCCAGGGTCCGGGCCCGGTCGCGCCGCGCGCACTCACCTCCCCTTCCAGCTGCACAGGTCGCTGGAGTACTGCGCGTCCGCGCCGCCCAGCAGCACGGCCAGCAGCAGCAGCAGCCGCAGCGGCGCAGGCGGGCCCGGGCCCGGGGCTGGAGGCCGCGGCCACCGCTGCCCCGCGCGCCCCGAGGCCGCCCACGCTGCGCCCCGCATGCTCCGGCTCGGCTCG